GCGTGGTGGACCTGACCACCCTGTGGAAACGCAAGTGCCAGCGCGAGGGGTTTTACGTTCACAGCTTGGACAGGAGCGTCTCGGACTGGAAGGTCTACTACATGCTCTGCAACTTGAAGAGGAACTTAATCAAAAACCCCTGTGCTGAAGGTTTGTTTAATTATTTATGGTAGAAGGCTAAGAGTTTCCTAACAGTCAGAGTGAGTCAGTGTCCTGCGTTACTGACGTGGGTCTGGCCAGCTACTGATGGATCACTGCTGGGTCAGATCCACGAGTAAACATCTGCAACAGAACCACCGGGGGTAGAGAAGGTATTGGTAAATACATAGCTGTGGTTGCGAACAGAAAAATCTCTGGAGTCACTAAGGCCCCGGCATTGCAGACGGTGACGGTTAATTTGCACAACAAGTACAGTACGGTAATGAAACTATCAGGTACTGGGATTAACCATTCAGGCAGATGGGGAATTTTTTGTTGTCAAAGACTTGACTAATATGACTACGGTAATTCTACTTTATTCCTGATTATGAGTTTCTGATGTGGTCAGCCAGTTGCTACCTCCTGTCCTAGCTGCTGACAGCCACATTAAAAGTAATGGCAGTGTAAAGACAGGAGTTGCTTTCAGCTGTAGAAAAAATGCAGCGTGTCTGAAAACTCATCAAAGTAGGTTCCTAGTATTCTTGTGTAGCTGATTCTTTAACAAAAGCAGAGATACTGCTGGAAACTGAAGTGAGGTCCTAACACTCATCTTTGATATCTGTGTTTTTAGAGAACTTTCAGCACTGGAAACTTGATAAAAATGATGGAGATAAATGGAAGATTGAGAATCTGCCTGGATGTCATGGAAAAGACATGCCCGACCCCAAAGTACAGAAATACTTTGTCACTTCCTACGGGTAAGAACTGGATTCCAGTCGTCTGGAGCTAGGAGACCTGGTTCCTCCTGTCTGTCTGCAAAGGCACTACGGTTAGAAGGCTTGAGGCAGGTCACTGAACCTTAGCCCACGTGTGAGTAAAAGAAGGAGCTTAATTGACCTTGTAGTCCATCTAAAGAGACAGGTGTACCGCTGAGAGAATTGATCGCAGCATGTCCTTACCAGGACTTTTCTCTAACTTTTTTATAGACGTGGTAATCCGCATAGGATCCCTGCTCCTCTTCTACCAAAGGTGGTGGGCAAAGGTTAAGGTTGGGCAAGCGAATCAGATGCACTTACCTGACAAGGTCAAGGTTCCAGAACCTCTAAGAGTGGTAGGGGTGTTTGTCATGCAATGGCTTGCAATAAAAGCTGTCACCAGAGGAGGATTAGCTGCTTTTATGGCCATTAAGCAGTAGTTTCCTGTTACCAACATATGCTATACAAGCGCAGGGACCAGCCTGTAGGTAACTATTCCTTTTGTCTGGGGGTGAAGCTCATCAGTTCACCTCCTTGTCTAGTTCTGGCTATGGAAAAAGGCATGCCTTAGCCACGTCAGCCTTGCTGGCCTTCAAGGTGTAGGTGGGCTTTTGGTGAGTGTACAGCTGTCTGGGAACATGCGGACATTGAGAGGGAAGAGATGTGTTTTGTGAAGTTGTATTTTTATTGCTGTTGCAGGCCATGCTTCAAGTCTCAACTCATTACCCTGCAGAAAGAAGGATACTGGAATCAGTTGATGGATGAGAAACGGCCTGAAATTGTAGTCAAGGACTGGTAAGCGTATGCAGTGAAAACCAGAATTTCTGGCATTGGCCTAGAGATAAGCTAGGCCTCTGAAGCTTTTCATGCTATGAGTTCTTTATCCTTTGGGAGTTGTAGCTCTTCAGTGAAGCATAAGCTAAATCCAGGTTTATTCAATGGGTTGTAAGGAGGTGGCAATCCTGCGGACAGTGGGATAGCTGGAAGTTTTAGAATTTCTCCATAGCTATGGGCATGATACTCCTTTTCCTCTGCAGACGGGGATCCCCTTGGAGACCATTTTTGAACACTAAAGGAAACTGAACACTGTATATACAACCCTGCTCCTTGATTACTCCCTGCCTCTCTAGGTATGCTGCCAGATTTGACTGTGGGTGTCGCTATGAACTTACGGTGAGGCTGCTTTCTGAAGATTACATTGTCCTTGAGGAGTTCCACCCCGAGCCAATAGTTATAGAGCAGTGGAGTGATGCAACGTGGAGAGAGGTAAGCGGCAGCCCTGTGGGCAGTAGCTTTACATCAGTATTGCGACACTTTAATCTTGCAAGTCTTACTTGGCCAAAAGTCCCAAGTGGACCTTCTTTCTCTGCTCTTCAGCCTCCTCTACTCAATACCAAAGGTAAGTCCTTGCTGTTGACAATGCTGAAGAAGCAGTAATGCTATGAAAGAACTAGGTTCAGTTTGTAGGTGCCCAGGGTTTTCTAAACAGTATCCCCTGGCTTCCTGTCTTATTTTAGCTGTCTCTTCAATTGTTTCTGGTTTTCACCTAAGTTTTTGTCTGAATAACTAAGTTGTAAGAGCACAGTTCTTTGCTTTATTAGATCAAAAAGCTTTGTTTTAAAACTACTGCATGGATGTAATTTAAAGTATTGCAGACATTACTTTTCTTAAACTGCTAAACGTGTTTAACTGGTTTGATTGGCTGTAGATTCCCCATTACATTGTTGCTTTCATGACAAACGATACCTAGGCATCAAGCTTAATGTTACGTTTGACTTGGAGAGGATTTCGAGGCAGAAGGCTGAATAAGAGAGGCTTTTTTCCTGTCCCTCAGAAAGGGGTACAATGCACTTTCAATGAAAGAGCTTTTCCTGAGGCCAAGACTCATATACTGTAGTTGTCCAAGCTTGTAGGTCAGTGCTGGTTTATTTAGGAAAATTAAGAGGAATTTTCTTCTTTCTCTCCAGATTTCTCACACCTTCCAGAATTACCCGGCTGGAGTTCGTTACATCTGGTTTCAGCATGGAGGCCAAGATACCCAATACTGGGCAGGCTGGTATGGGATCCGAGTGACAAACAGCAGCATCACCATTGGGCCCCTGACATTGTTATGAAGGCACAATATAAGTGTTTGCTTTTACCTCAGGACTGTAACCGGGTGGTCTCAGGTGCACTTACTTGTCTGTACTCTCTGGGTGAGTGTCCTGTCTTTGTCTTGCACAGTTGATCTCAAATACAAGCAGCTAGTTCTCCTTGTTCACAGCAGAACTTGTGCAGGCTCAGGCCTTTGGAAGGACTTGTGTCTTCATCTTTCATCCTCCTGTACCATGGATGTTACTGCAATTACTAGTGCCCTTCCACAGGAAGAAGACTAGGACCATTGAAATATGACAGCTATCTTTTCTAGTTAGTATGTCCTTGTGCTACAGCCAAACACTAGGTCTCAAATAGAAACCCTTTCTTCTTTGTTTATGGAACTTATGAAAGATAAGGCTAAAATGTCTCATTTCAAATTATCAATGCTGTCCTCAAGGGCTCTGCTACAGAGAGATTTGTTTCATATGGTATTTTCCTATTTCAGTTTAATTATGTATAAAAACATGTATCTTTCATAGCATAAGGAAACTGTCAACCGTTTTTCATAAATGCTGTGTCACTGGTACTTAATTCCTTACTGTTTCTGTAAGTGTGTATGATCAAAATGGTACATGCCTTCCGTGTCTAAATACAGCCCATGGTTGTCTGAATAAACAGCTAGAGAAAGAGGAGGTAAGAAATCCCTTAAGGTGGCTACCTTAAAACATAAGTGCCTTTTAATTGTGCTGAGCTTTTTCCATGCTACCTTTGTAGTACCAAAGTACTTGGTTAGACTGTTCAGTACAAACCCTGTATAAAACGTTAAGGCAGCGCACAACCTCCATCTACAGTATTCTTGCACTTTTTACTTGGAGGAAGCAGGGAGGTACAATCCCAGCTGTCTCATCATCAAATTGTCTGACTAACAAGCTCAGCTCGGGTACTGTGAACCATGTGTTCTACCCCTGTACGCATACAGCCAATACTAAGGCCTCCTTCCGTCTCCTTTGATAGGTGTAGGATTAACAGGGTTTCCCTCGTCTGCTCTCTGTTAGGAGTAGGACATTTGGCAAGTGTCCTTGCTAATGCTACTTGTGGGTGAAAGCCCTCCATGGAAAGGGAGAGACCAAGGTTGTAAAGCCTCTCGCAGGAATTGACAGAGTCCACATATGTTCCCGAAAAGGTATGGAAAAAGTGGTGGAAGCTCCACATAAGATACAAAGCTCCATACAAAATAAAAATACTTCCTCATTTCAGGGGGGAGGCTGGTTTGGACAGAGCTCAGCCTAGTTCAACTGGGGTAAAATTTGATATTTATTGAAGACTACTTAGGACAGTCACAGTGGACAGACACTACATAAGGCCTCACTCACCCTTAGTATGAGTCCATTGCTCTAGTGGAGCATGTAACAGATCGCTGTATGTCACTGCCGATGTGCAATGGAGATGCCCTATTAAGGTGAGAACTGGATTTGTACAAAGCACTGACTGCGTACCGCAGTTGCCTGTACCCTGCCCCCAGGGATTCACTGTAACAAAACCTGTACTCACTCTCACACATGAGCGTATACGGGAACACAGGCTCTGGCTCCACATTCCAAGTCAGTTCTATATACAGTGGTAAGAGCACTTGAAATAAAGAGGCAGCAGCTGCTCTACATTCACCCAGAAGGCCAGCTGAAGAGACAGTTATCAAGGTATGGTTTGTGAGATCTTATTCCACTGGAAGATCAGATGAGGCTTGAAGGCAAGGAAGATTTGAAATCAGGTGCCTTTGTGGGCTCGTTCTTCTACATACAGCTGCATCTGGAGGAGAGAAACAAGCATCAGTTCCCATTTGATGTGCTGGTAGGTGAATGGAAAAAAAAGCCTGCAACAGGCTAAATAGGAAGAGTTTGTACCTTCCCCCATAACCAGGTTTCCCATTAATTAATTAATTAAATGAGTCTTGCCCTGTTTTGATTACTGGCACAGGCATCTGCAAGCCTAAGCTACCGCCCAGCAGTATGGAAGTTGTTACCTTACAGAAAACGGCAGAGCTGGCGTCAGAGTAGACAAAGCTTAGACCTACATCCAGTTTCAGCCACCGCTCACCTTTAAGATATCAGATGTCATAGTTTTCAGAGGAATAAGCCGGGGGTCATGCATGTGCACGTCTTGCTCATCAGCGAGGATCCATGGGAAATCCTAGGGGCAGGAACACAAGGTGTTATTTACAGAGAGGCTGGCAGGCTCTGTCAGGAGAGCTCTCTTTCTCAGCACTAGGTCAGCATTAAGTGAGCGAGAGATCAAGCTTCTGAGGGAAGAAACAGGTAACTCAAACCTTTCACAACAGCAGAACTTGACACTTGCACACTTGGCCCTGAGACATGGGACAGTATCTTCAGTTACAGCATCAAACTATAATGTTAACCTACTTTATCTTTTAAAGAAGTGAGATGTCACCTTTGGAGTAAGTAAACTCTTAGCTGTCCTGAGCTAGCATGTTCTATGCGTTATGCCAGCATTTAATTGCAACTCCAAAATGCTCAGGGCATGGACTTCTGTCCTGCCTTGCAAGTTTAAAGGTTGGCCTACTACACTACCCATTTCCATTACTAAACAGTACAGAGCAGACTTCCACTTTGAAACAATTTTATACTTCACTAGCTTTATTGTGCCTTAGGCCACCCAAAATAACTTGGCTTGGGGAAAAAAGTTTCCCTGTACCTAAGCAAGGATTCTTAAAAAAAAAAATAATCTTGCTTTAAGAAGTGATCTGCACACACTTTCCTGCAAGATAAAATGTATTTGTGCACCCAAAACCCACTAGTTACTTGAACCTTAGTCTTTCTTGCTATTTATAAAGAACTAGCCATCCACACATAGTGGGTGTGGGATGAGAGCTTTTTTTGTTGATCAAATTCAAGTACCCATTCTGTATGTCAGAGTACTTTTAAGTGACTGAGCAGGCATTACGTGCAGTAAGTATTGTTACAATCTAATTCAGGCATTGAAGCAGCTATTGTTTGCAATTGCGGCTGGAGTATGGTGAATGTGCTCGGTCACCTCACCAGTGTAAGCCATTTTAACACATTCAAAGCAAAGCTGTGAAGTGCATCATGTGAAGCTAACGTACGTGTTTGAAATATCTAGCGGCCTTAACCCTAGAGATGCCAAAACTCTGTAATTTCCAGTGTTTGCTCTGCAGCTTGCTCTCTCACAATCAGGTAGCCAAAGATATCGCTCACCTTTATCACCTGGATCTTTTCCATATTTCGTGTGGCAGCCTCCCGTGTGTGAACCAGAACTGTGAAGGTGCAACCTGCAAGAAAATGGTAGGCTCCAGATCAGGGGACAACTAACAGAGGATCGGACGCTACCTTTTGTCTCAAGTCAAGCAATGCCACGCTATCAGGCTGCATGGACACGTTTACCTGGGGGATTGTTGTCAAGCACCGCATCGCACACACTGATCTTCAGGATGAAGGCACGCAGTAACTGCTCCACGTGGGACAGCAGGGACTCCGAACTGTTGAGGAGACAGCAGTTGTTACTGGCATGCAGCAAAGCACTGGGGCCTGGAGCTGCTTCCAGAACCACCTCTGCAGAGGCAGGTGTTGGATGCCATGGGCAAGCAGTAATGGAAACTTTACCTAATGGAAAGAAGAGGTGGCTGGGTGATCTCAAAGACAAATCTCTCCACAGGGTGGTGCTCTTTATCCAGGATTACAACTACAACTTTCTCCACATCGTTCTGCGAGAACAAAGATAGAAAATCCCTTCCTTAAAACCAGCTGTCTTCTGCCCACAGTGTGCTTCCCATACTTCTGATAGAATGGAAGTGTGCTGCTTTGTTGTGGCTCACAGCAATAGCAGTTATCCAAAGCTTGAGCGCTGTCAGATTATTCTCACTGATCATAAAAAATATTTTTGCAAAGCCATTTCTTGCTAGATGTTAAACTGATAGCTTATCACTAAGGCCTAGGGAGATGAAGTGCATTAAACAGCACATTTCTCCAGATACTGCTTTGGAACAAAGGAGGAAATGTACAGCCATCTCATTGCATCACTCGGGAAGGGACAATGATGAGGAAGTTAAGATATGCTTAGACTGTTGACCAAATATAGCAGCTTTGTACTACCGTAATGTAAAACCGATCTATTTCCGTTCCCTAAATGTGCATTAAAGTTGTCCGTAAAGAGCAGAGAATGCAAAATCTGCCAGCATCCTACGCCCTGAAATGCTTCATATGGTCACACCTTTCTCTTACAAAACCTTGAGTTCAAACCTACGTTTGCTTGCTGGCTTACAACAAAGCATTCAAACTATTCTGCCATAGGTGCTTAAACTTAAATCTATTCAAAAGCAGAACGTTAAGTTAACATGTAGGATGATGTAACTGAAAATATATGATGCATATCCTCATGTGCATGTATTAGATGCAAACTAAATGCCAATGATCAGCAGCAAGGAAGGCCCTTAACTGCAAGTAAAGATTATGGATGTTATTTTTGTTAGTAACTTTATCAGCTAGTGTATTGTAAAACTGTAAATAAATTCTGTAATGAAGACAGTATTTATGTTCTCTTACTTTCTGTCAAAACCATTTGCAGTACTTTTGCCCAGGTCCCCGATAGGATCTTACCTTCTCGAGCAGCGGCTTTACGCAGTGCAGCGTGTCCTGGATGTACTGATTCAGCTCCGGGTGGCAGGACATCTGTAGCAAATACAGAGAATAGTCAGAGCGGTGTTCTGATATGAACCAGGACAACGCTAACTGGGAAGATTTAAACAGAAGCACCAGTGTGTTACAAGGCACTTGAGCTGCGCTTCAAAGAGCACTTTTCACCACTAAGTTGCCAATTCAAACCAGTAATTCTTTCATGGCAGGATTAGTTAGCGGAGGCAGATCACTGTGCCCATAGAGTTGTAATATACTGGGAATATATACCCACAATAGCATATTGGGAACAGTATATTCCAACCATCTCTACTTCCTAGGAAGCATGCTTTCATGTTACCTTACTGCATATAGCTGGGGAAGCCTTCTACTACTATTGTCCATGATCTGCTTGTTCCCTGAGTATTGCTGTATCCTCAGCTACAGAGTCGTTCTGCCTTTTGATAGGAATTAAATTCTCTTCAAAAATGAGTTTGCACATTAAAACAAACTCTGGAAGTGATTTAGTTTGTTGTGGTGAGTGTTGACTAATCCCTGCTGCTTTGCTTGTCCATGTGGCTGTCAGCTTCCAGGAAAATCTCCTACCTGGACAGGTACATTGTATTTTTTCCTCTTCTGAAAGATCCCAATAGGGTAAACTTCTCTGACATATAAGATAAGGTGAACAGCCACTTCCAGAAATTCTGAAAGAACATCTGCAACAACTGAAAAGCAAAAGTAAAGGATGCTGAAGTAGGGAATGGGGGGAAGCATGCAGAGCAATACCATATACTCATAGGAATTTTCTTCTTTTAAGGTATTTTTCCCTGCGTAACTTTCACCTGCTTCCGCTTAGCTGCAGGAAGTTTAGGGACAGACCAACCCTCCAACAACAATCCCACAAGCTTATGTGCCAACAAGAAGCAGCCTTGCAATCACACCAATTTGCAGCTTAGCACAACACATTACCTTGCCCAAAGTTAAGGTCCTGCCGTGTGAGAGTGGTCATCCTTCCCAGAACCTGAAAGTAATCACAAAAAGAATGGTTATCCTCTGGCTCCTATCTTATTAACAGAGTCAGCTCACGGAGTCATCCACTTCCCTAAGTCCGCTGAGCTCAGACCCAACTGTCCTCTGTGCTTAGTCACAAGCACGCGAACACTGCCACGACAAATCTGCAGGGCTCACTGTGAAAGGTTTAAGCACCTTCCATAACCAACAACACGCTGTCAGAAATCACCAGTAGTGCAAAAACCAAAGACGTTATCATTGCTGTGTTCTGGCTCACACTTTAGAGTGACAGATTCCTCAATTTAATTCCTGTTTTCTTAAATTGGGTTTTATTTGAAAAAAAAAAAAGTTAAAATCTGTCCAGTTCACAGTTTTTCACTGTCTCCCTCCCTTTTTGATGCATTTTGTTAGGATTGGAGACTTAATGATTCCTAAGACACAGGAACGTTTAGACAATCACTTTTTAATAGCACAAGGAACACTATTTTAATAAAGCCACAGAAGTGTTCTCGTAACATACTAGAACATATCCCTTTTCTTTTCAAACCCCTATATCCTATTATAACACAAGAACTTCTCCGTTTTACGGGTGTATTCTCACAACATCACCGTGAAACATTGCTGTTCAGGTGAGGATCTGCATCTTCCATCGACACTACACAACAGAGGTACTCATCTGCTGTCTGCTACCAACACAGAATAGCTCGAGCTGGAAGGGACCCGTAAGGATCATGGAGTCCAACTCCCTGCTCCTCCATATGACTAAGAGCATCACCCAGACACCCCTTGAACTCTGACAGCCTTGGCGCCGTGACCACTTCCCCGCGTAGCCTGAAATTTGTGACAATTATAAAGGGCAGCACATTATTGCGCCAAACTGAACACCACGTGCCAACAATCAAACAGCAGACACTGGGCATCTATTTTCCAACAGCTTTCCTTACACAGTGGAGTCTGCACCTTACACGTTTTAAGCTACGGTGTACCTAATTTTCTATAAGAAGTTTTTATTGGTTTCATTATTTTATCCCTACTCTTTGCAGGCATGCAAACTCTAACCACTAATGGCAGCACCACTGTTCGTAAACTGTGTACGTCTTCAAAGACCTCCAGGAGCAGCCTGGCTCCAGCGGTAACACAGGTGCCTCACACGGACCTCTGACACGGCACAGGCATTCCAATCAGGCCCTTAGCCACTGATTTTCAACCTGCTTCAGCTGCAACAAACCATGTTTTTCAGACCCACAAAGAATTACTTCAACCTCCACAAAATAGGGAGCTACTCTCCTCTCCCTTTTAAAATCAGAATCTTATCACTGTACACAAAGACTTCCTGGAATATCAGTGATCTGCTAGAATAAATAAAATTAAGATACTTAAGCATCTCTCTAGAACCCCAGCTGCAGCGACTCTCAAATTTGTACAAAAGATCTGTATCAGAGTAGCATAAAGAATCTGTGTTCTTAGAGGTTTAGGTTCACGTCCTCACCTAAACCCTTTCTTAAGCAGAGGCCCCAGTGAGGCAACAGCATCCCAAGAGATCCACCCTTCAATGCAGTCACAAGGTCAGGCCCAAGAATCACACATTTAATACTCCCTCAGCTTAAAGTTTTGGAGTATCCGATTGGAGCAATGCTGCAGTTAACCGCCTTTCATCTGTTCGTTTGAATTTGCTGTCCTAGATGTATGAGCTGAGTTTCCAGAGTCACCCCACCTTCCCAGCATAACAGACAGCAGCGAGGGATGGCGAGGGGAAGCGAGGAGGAGTAGGCATCAGGAAAAAGAAAGCCTGCGCTTCCTTCAGGGTGCTTTTTGGAAGCTCGCAGTCCCTTACTGGAGAAGTTACAGAAGAAAAGGGAAGCAAAAGAGGCAGGGATGTCAGGTAATTTGTAATCCATCATCTCCAAAGTGCCCACGTCTATCACACGGGCTCCCACGCTAGCCCACAATAACCAACACAGGCCTCCCGCATCAGCTTGCACTGTGCCCTGCCCGCTTCGTGGCTTCCGAGGAGAGAAAGGAGACTCACCCAAAGCTCCTTCACCGTTTCGCGGGCTGGTCTCCCTAACGGCTGGAAGGCTCCCGGGGCGGGGATGGGCACCGCAGGGTGCCCC